AAGTTAACCCGTCACTAGCAGGTGAGCAGGCAGTAGAAAGAGCCAAACACAGACAAACAAGATGTATGTCCTAGCGGCCCACATTATAGACACAAGATGTGGCTCAGACCAGAACGGTGGGTTAACTGTGAAGGCTCAGACAACAGTAGTGCAGTAAAATCCAAAAAAAAGTTATGAAGCCATAAGATGAGTCCGAAAGTTAAAAGATACAAGTTTTACCGGCGAGCAGCGGCAGCAGGTTGCGCCAGCGTTCACTCGCACTCGATTATTGGACTTCATGGACTATCATATCGAGTAGTGTCCAGTGTTTTCAATGTGCCGAAAGCAACAGTCCATCGTGTAATCCACAGAGTGGCACAAAACATATGGGTAAACCTGAAGAAAGCCATCTCTTTCCCACAAGCAGAGGAGCTGCAGGCAGTGGGGCAAGGATTTGTCCAACTATCCAGAACTCCTGCATTTAACAACGTTATTGGTGCAATAGATGGCACCCACATCAGGATCAAACCCCCATGGCGGCACCAAATAGATTATTTAAACTACAAGGGCTTTTATTCCATCAACATGCAAGCAATATGTGATTCCAGTGGACGATTCCTAGATGTATTTATTGGCTATACAGGGTCAGTTCACGACACACGCATACTGAAAAACAGATAATTTTATAGGGCACAACGTTATCCCCCTACAGTGTACATTATTCTAGGTGATGGGGGCTATCCCTGTTTAGACACCCCACTCTGCTTGATCACACCCTACAAAGAGCCAGTGATTGGAGAAGTCCAGGGGCGCTTCAATTACTACCAGTCCAGGGCCCGCAGCATAATTGAAAGGGCTTTTGGTATCATGAAAACAAGGTGGAGGTCTACACTTTTCAGAGCCTTGGAAGTCAAACCAACATTTGCACCCCAGGTCATTGCTTCCTGTGCCTTTTTGCACAATGTGTGTTTGGACAACGGGGACATGCTCGAGCCAGATGACGACATTTCAAGGGAACATTTCGACTTTCAACCTGCCTGTGAAGCCATGGCATTCAACGAAACATCTGGGAATGCTACAAGGGACAGACTGGCTGCCCTAGTTTCAGGCATTATGCAAGCCCTATGAGGATGACCCAGATGTGTATATAAATGTTTGTGTGTGTGTGTGTGTATATATATATATATATATATAGGCTAATAACTTCTATATGTGTATTGTATTAACCTATGTATGTGGTTAATACAATACACAGATAAAAGTTATTAGCCTATATATATATATACACAAAGTTCTTTATCTGTATGTTATTTGCAATATGTGTGTATAATAACTTTTATCTGTGCATGTTATTAACCTATATATATATTTTTATATATTAGTTCTTACAAAAAAGTATGTTAGTTGCAATAAAATGTTTTCAAACATATTGCATGGTGAATTATGTATCTGTTTCAGGTATTTTACTGTTTTGGTACTGTTATTGATGCCCAGAAACACCTTTTTTAAGAAACATTTTTATTTTATTATTAGAAATATATATAGAAATAGATAATACAGATGAATACAGAACAGCATATAAAACAAAAATATTGTGCAAAATTGAACAGCATATAAAACATTTGTGCAAAATTGAACCGACTATAAAACAAAAACATTTGTGCAAAATTGAACGGCATATAAAACATTTGTGCAAAATTGAACGGCATATAAAACATTTGTGCAAAATTGAACAGACTATAAAACAAAAACATTTGTGCAAAATTGAACGGCATATAAAACAAAAAACATTTGTGCAAAATTGAACAGCACATGAAAGACAACTACATTTTGTCTATCAATTTTTCAAAGAGACAAGAAACTCTCAGTCTTGGCCTCACTCTCCTTGTGGCGTTTCTGCTCCTCACGGGACTCCTCAATTAAAAATTCTAAAATTGGATTAGTTTGCCGCTTTCTTTTCCTGGGTGAAGGAGTTAACGGGCTTGGTGTGGCCATGGAGGATGCTGCACTGGGAGAGGCTGTGGCTCCTGTATTTGGCAAAGGTGAGGAGGCTCCTATGGTGTTGGATGCAGTACTGGGCTCAACAATCTCCTAGGAGAATGAGACAATACAGAAGTAATTACAATACAGAAATGGGTAATATTTCATCAGAAGTATATCAACAATTAAAACCTTACCATGAGGATTGTTACTGGATCCTCATCATTGAATGATGCAACAACCACAGGAGGGTCCACTGAAGGCCTGGGACCCAGCACCTCGTGCATATCCTCATAGTACTGCCACGTAGCAGCTTTTGCTTCTCCTGCATCTATCCCTGAACCAGTTTTAGGTATTTTTAGGTCCTAGAGGGAGATAATATTCATAATTATAATACTTATAATTATATAATCCTCATAATTACTCCTTTCATTTCACTACATGTTTTACATTAGTAATTAAATGAAAGTGACAAATACATATTGTAAGAAATGACAGCTTCTCCTGCTAAAATGAGTGTGTTCATTTAACAAGGATAAATATAAACATGTTGAGAAAATAAATGACTAGTATTGAGATTGTGAAAGATTTTCATAACACCACGTTCCTTACCTTATATTCTCTCTTCAGATTCTCCCACTTCTTGGCTGCTTGTTGGCCGTTCAGCTTTCCTTCCAACCCCATTTCTTTTGGCAGAAGCTTCCACAGCACAAACAGAATGAGTAACAAGGCATAAGTTAGATAATTAAACGGTATATGTACAGGTACAAACGCAATGAAATGCAATAAGAAGTATATGTGTTAAATAAACAAATTTAGGCCTATAAATAGTGTGTGGTGCAAATTATATCTAACGAGTCAGACGCAAGCACAGTAACGTTTAACAGATTACTCACTCCCAAAGTTGTTTTGCCCTGTATTTGGACTTCAGAAAACGTTGCTCATTTTCAGCTCGAAAGCGAATGATCCTCCGTGTTTCCTCAGGTGTCCCTGTTTGATAAAGACCATACAAGACTGGTTGATCTGATCATGTTGCAAAGAGCGCGAAACTGTAAGCACTGTTGTCGTGTTCACATATAAGTTAAACAAAAGAAAACAATGCGTTCATAGTAGATGTATGGTAAAATATAAGCCAATTCCCTTCAGCAATTACATTCACCAGTTGTCAGACATGAAAATATGTTGCGGTACTATCGTTAGCAAACTATAGTAATTTTAGCGATTTTTTTTACAAACGTTTCTGTGAAGAAACTGACCGTAAAATATGAACACAATATTGAATGTAACATAAAGCAAATCATTATTTGTCGTTAAAATACTTAATTAAAGGCAAAAATACTTACATTTATGAGTCTCCTTCTTCGCTTGGGCAGCCATTTTGCATCTGTACCCGGTGTATACAGTGACACTTCTCATACCCCTTCGTTTGAAGTGTGGTACCGAAAAATCTTCGTTTGAAGGGCTATGTGGCCCTTCCCCCTAGCCCTCCCCCTCCAACCAAAAGAGAATTGGGACAGCCCTACCCCTTCACGTGCACGTGCAAAACGGAGGGGAAGGGGAAAGTGAAGGGGTAAGTTGTAGAATTGGGATTGGCCCTTAGTATCACTCTCGAGAAAGGCTATTCTTCTTGTTATGTAGAATATCTTTCTGTTCTATAAGATTACTAATCGAAGCACTTAACAATATCAGCTTGTAGCTTAAGATCACACATTAAAGAGGCTTTGTTCAATGAGCAGTAGACAGAGACAATCAAGCGTATAATGGGGTTTTAATAAAATGAACTATAACATACAGCTACATTTAACAATGAATCAATTTCTCATTAATGCAATTATCTAATCAACCAATCACATGGCAGTTGCTTCAATGCATTTAGGGGTGTGGTCCTGGTCAAGACAATCTCCTGAACTCCAAACTGAATGTCAGAATGGAAAAGAAAGGTGATTTAAGCAATTTTGAGCGTGGCATGGTTGTTGGTGCCAGACGGGCTGGTCTGAGTATTTCACAATCTGCTCAGTTACTGGGATTTTCACGCACAACCATTTCTAGGGTTTACAAAGAATGGTGTGAAAAGGGAAAAACAGCCAGTATGCGGCAGTCCTATGGGCGAAAATGCCTTGTTGATGCTAGAGGTCAGAGGAGAATGGGCCGACTGATTCAAGCTGATAGAAGAGCAACTTTGACTGAAATAACCACTCGTTACAACCGAGGTATGCAGCAAAGCATTTGTGAAGCCACAACACGCACAACCTTGAGGCGGATGGGCTACAACAGCAGAAGACCCCACCGGGTACCACTCATCTCCACTACAAATAGGAAAAAGAGGCTACAATTTGCAAGAGCTCACCAAAATTGGACAGTTGAAGACTGGAAAAATGTTGCCTGGTCTGATGAGTCTCGATTTCTGTTGAGACATTCAGATGGTAGAGTCAGAATTTGGCGTAAACAGAATGAGAACATGGATCCATCATGCCTTGTTACCACTGTGCAGGCTGGTGATGGTGGTGTAATGATGTGGGGGATGTTTTCTTGGCACACTTTAGGCCCCTTAGTGCCAATTGGGCATCGTTTAAATGCCACGGCCTACCTGAGCATTGTTTCTGACCATGTCCATCCCTTTATGGCCACCATGTACCCATCCTCTGATGGCTACTTCCAGCAGGATAATGCACCATGTCACAAAGCTTGAATCATTTCAAATTGGTTTCTTGAACATGACAATGAGTTCACTGTACTAAAATGGCCCCCACAGTCACCAGATCTCAACCCAATAGAGCTTTGGGATGTGGTGGAACGGGAGCTTCGTGCCCTGGATGTGCATCCCACAAATCTCCATCAACTGCAAGATGCTATCCTATCAACATGGGCCAACATTTCTAAAGAATGCTTTCAGCACCTTGTTGAATCAATGCCACATAGAACTAAGGCAGTTCTGAAGGTGAAAGGGGGTCAAACACAGTATTAGTATGGTGTTCCTAATAATCCTTTAGGTGAGTGTATGTGACAACTGGACAGAGAGAGATTGGCAGCTCAACTTCAGAATGAGAAGAACCACCTTCAATCATCTCTGTGAGAGTCTTCGTCAAAGGCTGACTCGACAGGATACAAGATACCGCCTGGCAGTGCCGGTGGAGTTGCGTGTGGCGATATGCTTGTGGAGGCTGGCCACCAATCTTGAGCTCCGATCTATCTCTCACCTCTTTGGTGTGGGAATGTCAAGTGCCCCTGCCATCAACGACATCATAAAGCCACAATACCTACACATACCATCAGCTGCAGAAGTCAGAGAAATAGTCAGAGGATTCAGTGACAGGTGGGGGTTTCCACAGTGTGCAGGAGTTGTGGATGGCACTCATATTTGCATCATGGCACCACCTCACAACCCAGCTGACTACTACAACCGCAAAGGCTTCTATTCAGTAATCCTGCAAGGTGTTGTGGACCAAAATATGAAGTTTTGGGATGTCAACATCAGCTGGTCTGGGAGGGTTCATGACGCCCGCGTCTCAAACTCGTCTCTTTATGAACGAGGGCAGAATGCAACACTATTGGCAGGATGGCAAGAAACCATTCAGGGTGTGCAGGTACCTCTTGTGATACTAGGAGATGCCGTGTATCCACTGCTACCATGGCTAATGAAGCCATACCCGGAGGGCAGAGGGATAACACCGGAACAATCTGTTTTCAATCACCGCTTGAGTCAAGCCAGAATGACTGTGGAGAGGGCTTTTGGACGCTTGAAAGGAAGATGGAGGTGCCTACTAAAGCGATGTGATTGTCATGTCACCTTAATCAGTGACTTCATCTCTGCCTGCTGTGTCCTTCACAATTTTTGTGAGAGTCACAATGAAGAATACATTGGCAATGAAGATGAAAATTATGATGCAAGACCAGACCCTGCAGACTGTGTCATTGCTGGTGACAGTGGGGCAAATATTAGGAATGCATTATGTGCTCATTGTTCAAATATGTAGGTATGGACATTGGTTTGGCACTTGCAGCCTTCGCATTGCATTATTGCCTAAAGAAACACAATTTGTATTGCCTGTTATGTTCTGCAACCAACGACAGTAAATGTATAATTGTTTTACTAAAGTTTATTGCTGAAAATAGTTGTGTTGATTTTGTGTTGATCTTGTTCTGTTTATAATTACATCACACTTCAGTATGTAAGAGAGAGATGACACACTGTTAAATTTGGTCAACATTTATTATAGAGAAATAAAATGTTGAACACTTTAAGGAATAAACTTTAGCACATATTGCAGACTCAAACAACAGAGCTGAATAGGCATTAACTAGGATAATATGGCTCTTTTGCTGCTTGCAACACACTTTCTGCATAACTTTTTTTCTTTTTCAACTCCAAACAGACATGGCCATATAAAATATAACTCAATACAGCTATACCATATAGGTCAAATAAAAAGTAAAACCCAAACATAAATAAAGCATACAAATTAAAAGTGCTTGGTGCTGTTCAGTAAAACGAATTAGCATGCATACCTGAAAATAAAAAACGTACAACTAAAAAAAAATCTGCTTCTCCTCGCTTGGTTCACCACTATCATTTTGATACAGGGCGCTTGGGGTCAGATCAAAGGGGTTTGTGGGTTGGGCCTGCATAGTTGGTAGGTGTGGAGACCGCTGTGCAACCCAGTCACCAGGAGCTGGAGGTGGTGGATGGTATTGAGGATTTTGGGGAGCACAGGATGCTGAATGGTGTAGAGCTTGGTTTTGGTGAGACATGCTTTGCATTAAGGTCTGCATCAAATTCCTGAACACAGTATTTGTGGCTGCATGCTCCTCCTGCAGCATCCTGAAGCGCCTCTCCTCAGTCTCCTGCTGCATTTTCCTCCACTTTTCCAGAGTGGCATTCTCCCTCTCCTGTCTCCTGTCTCCTGCGTGTTGAACTCATCCTGCAGCCTCTTGTACTCCTGAATTCTTCCAGCATCATTGGCCCTCCTCTTTCTGCTATGGTAAGGAGTTGCAGTGTTTGGGCTAGCTTCCTCTTCGTGGCTGGCATTTCCTCCTGTAAAATTATACCTAGTTATGTTAAATAAAAATTGTATGCACACGTATGATACCAGCCTACTGGTCTGGCACTAATCTAACGTTACAATAGAATACAAGCCATCTTGATGAACATTTCATTCATTGTTTTCAACATTTTATTAGTGTTTTTTAGCTACTGAGTTAATAAAACAATCTTTGTCAAAGAATAGACTTGTTTGTTCATATCTGAACGTTTGTTTAATTTCAAGACCTGTGGTGAATTATCCATTGTTGCTTTTACATATACAAAGCTGGGAGAATTAAATGATATTCAAAGTCACATTACACGCTTTTAACATTAAATAAAGCACATAAAACAGTACCAGAGATTATCGTGGCACAGTTTGCTATTCCAGCCGCGACGTCGCAGAAAAATAGAAACCGTTTCCAAAATAGAATCGTTGCGTGTCGCCGTCGCGGCTAGTTAGGACAAACACTCTGATTAACATGGAAAAGATACCTTGACTCACCAGTTTCGGAAGTGTTTACTGTAGTATTGCACTCATCAGTAGCACTTGAAGTTGAAGCTGATGGGGAAGACTCCACCACCTTAATGGGTAAGCTTGTTGGGCGAGTGCCCAGATTGCTATCCAGGTCGTCATAAAAAGGACATGTGTCCTTCGCATTTGTCGATGCACCACTTTTTTAATGGCATCACGCGCCTTTGTATATTGCTGCCGCAGTTTCTTTATCTTCAGGTGGCATTGCTCTCCCGTCCTATCATACCCTCTCTCTCTCTCATCCTCTCCGAAAATATTTGAAAAGTGTCTGCATTTTTGAGGCGATAGGAATTCTTTTGAAGCTCACGGTTCTAGTTTGAGTGTTTGTTTTAATTCACACCCGCCACAAAAGTGTCAATAGGAGCAATTAGATGCAGCCTCTCTGGCGCTAGACCTGTGAGTTACTGGACAAAAGTCAATGGTTAAATGTTTTTTTTCAAATGTTCGAATGAGTGAGTCATGTGAGACTGTCCAGATACGCTACACCCCCTTTATTGCATACACTTGAAATTAAAGTAACGTTTACTTCAGTAGAGGTATGGCCACTACTACAGATATAAGCCGACCAACTTTACTTCTCTTATTATAGCTTTGCAGACTGATCTCATGAAATGGCGTATGTATGACACGCCAATTCGTATTTCCATTTTTGGCGTGCTATCAACACGCATAATCGCTTTTCAGCGTGTTTATCAACGCCTTGACTTAACGTTATATTACTGTATATATAAATATATGACCTACCCCAACCCCGTCCCTAAACCTACCCGTCACTGGGGTTAATACCATTTATGAGTCTTCTCCTACCATCCTAGGAAAAAAAATATTGCTTGTAAGACTGGAAAACTGGAAACTGGGTGAAGAGATAGACCACTGGTCTATGAGACAAAGGACCTTGGCAAATTAACATTTGAACTCTCTCACACACACACTTCTTCCCCGCATCCCCCACTCTCGCAGTGACACATAAAAACTCACATAAGAATATCTATGGTTTGATGTGAATGATTATCATTGAGTATTATGTTTGGTATCATTTGAAATGTCTCAAGAATGAGTGGTACAAATGTCTCATTCCCAAAGTATAAAACAAAAGGTAATAAGATTTTTTAGAAGTTTAGAGAAACTGGCACACAAAGAAAGGTGGACAAATGGCCTTTCTCCCCTACCCCCAAAATAAGGTGTAACCTGAATGCAAATTACCATTGAAAAGAAGTTCTGGCTATTTAATGGAATGCAGCCAGGGTAGTGGCTCTTTCTGTATCTCAGATAGCCCGTGGACGCTGAGTCGCCGAGACTCAGCATTCATGTATTTCATGTCGGGTAAAAGATTTTCCTCTTTGTTCTAGAACATTTGATGATTTGCATTGATTATCTTTCAATTGATTATGGAATTATTATAATACATTTACCTGACATAATAAATTGTTATATTTGATTATTCTAACAGACTTTGACTTTATTTTCATTGGAGTTAAAACGAATAGTCAAACATTAACGTATATTTAATGATGCACAGATATCATTGAAAAACACTTTCATTTTATGGAGTCAGATGAAACGAGTTAATACATAAGATAATGTATTGCATTTAATTAAAAATCCCTTTGCCATTGGAAGAGACGGAACGCGTTGAAACCTTCACCTCTAATCGATACCGCCATTGGATCGAATTAGACGGACTTACATGCTCCACAGATGTAAATATAAATTTTTCTTCGTTTCGCTCGTACATTTAACAGCGTACACATACACGCGGAATCACTCGGACATTTAATGGCGTAGACATACACGCAAAACATGACGGTTCATTTCGGCGTGGACATACACGCGGATAGCTCAAAATGCGTATAGATAACACACCACTCGACTTGAAAGTGGCGTGTATGTTTACGCAAAGTCATGATGTCATGTTGAGCTTTGGATCATTGGCCATGCCGTGGTTTCCCACGTACACTTATCTAAAGTAACATTAAATTAAAACAGAGGTAAGACACACCCAGATTTAGGCTGGTCAAGCAGCATTTGCTGCCCTACACGGAAATTCACCTCTTGTCTTTGCAAAACATGTACACTTGAATTAGCGCCAAAGTATTAGTCGTCACTAGTCTGACGCAAAACTTGCGGTAACATGCGAATCAGTTTAATCTACTTGGGAAAACAATTTAAGAGTCAGTCAGAATAAAATCAAATGTTTACAATTTATTATGTCAGGTAAATGTATCATGCCAATTTCATAATCAGTTCAAAGATAATTGAAAACATACAAAACATCAAATGCTCTGGAATAAAGAGAGAAGATGCGAACCTGACATTATAAAAACATGATGAAGAGTGCCTGCATACACTAGGCATCACAGGCTAATTTGAGTTACAAATCGTGCCAAGCCTTCTTCAGTATCGCCCTAAATACTCAGACCAAGGCAGAAACCTCTTTTCAAATGTAAACATGAGTTCAACTTCACAGTGGGAATTTGCATTAATCACCATCCTGGACTTACTGGGGACAGAAGCTGATTTACATGAGGGCACACCCACAGTTAACAAGATATCTCGAAACTCTCCACACCTTATGACCTTTCTGGTTTACTTCTGTGGGAATGAGACCTTTGTACCAGTCGCACTGAGACATTTCAAATGATCCCAAACATGTATAATACTCTGATAAATGATAAATTGACATATTAAACCATATAGATTTTTGGGTGAATTCAGGTCAGGATGGGTGAAGGGAATGATGTGTAAATTGGGAGGTGATACACTCAAGCGTGATCGTGTCTCGAATGGGGATGGTAATATAGCAAGAGTTCAAATGTTAATTTCTTTTGTTTTCTCGGAGCGTAGCCCTCTCTTCCGGTTTCTCCAGTCTTGCAATCTGATAACTATAAGAATAGCTGCCAAGTAAACTTATGAAATATTTGTGTGCTCACTTTTTTGTTGTTGCATGCCTTCATTTATTTTTTTTACCTTTTCACAAGACCTAAAAAATTATCAGAAGATTTCACTGTGAAACATGTTTAGTGTGTCGTTTCTATCAAGCTGCAGTTGTGTAAACTGTGATAAATTGATATTCTATAAGTTTCTTGCACTGTTTACACACTCAGCAGGGATAAATTACAACCTGTTCCATATTTATGATTATGGGCGGAGCTATATGACATCACTGCAGATGAGTAAGTAAAACTAAACCGATGAACAGGAAGCTTCACCAAACGGCAGCATTTCATTTCAGAAGAGGACTGCGACTGACTGAGGCAGCAGCAAAACTGTCATGTCACAAAAAAGGCCACATCCCACCACTGGTGAAGAGAAAGGAAAAAAGAAGAAACATGAGGAAGAAAAAACACAAGATAAAGGTATGTTGAAAAATTGAATGTTAACTAAATTAGGTTATGTTGCAAGCTAACTTTAGTTGGCTAGTTAATTAACAGCCTAGGTAGAATATCTAGGTACAACTCAACAGACATTCACATCACATGTAAGGACAGCTGTAGAGTTACACTCATGGGACACTGCACTTATTTGCAATCAATTTCATTCACTCGCTTTTTCTGAGCATGTACACTCAAAGGCGTTAAAGTGGTTAACTTTTTAGTGCATGCACCACATGTGGGTATGTGGGTGCGTGTACTTTTCCATACTCTTTTTACGGATGCGCTCTAACAGGTGTGGTGAAGAGATGAGGTTCCACCTTTTATTGTAATGGATTTAGTGCCTGGTTACAAATCAGACAAAATTACTTTATTATGTTAGTCTTTTAAACTACATTATAACGACCATTAATGTTTTTTAACTTGTATGTTTCATATACTAGTATGTAACTGAAGCTATAGATTGTGAAATTAAACGTTTCTCGTTCTTAGTGTTTTATTATTTAGCTTACATGTACAATTCAATTACTATACAAAAGTTGTGTGTCCTGTAAAAAACGCTATACAAATAAATATATTACTTGATGGCAGAAAACTGCTAGATTTCCTGCTTAAAATGTTTTTACAAACTGCTTTTATCTTATCTTGTACATAGTAGGGGGATTTAGCATGCTACATAAAGCTACCACATAAAGCTAAAACTGCTTACATTAGCTACAACAAGTTATCACGAGAACAGCCTTAGATCAGGCATATTACTGGGCTCCTAAGGTGGGACTCATCACTTCACCACACCTGCAATGTGTTCCAGAAAAGCAAAAGAGCAGAGGTGGAGAGTAACTCATTACAATACTTGAGTAAAAAAATTATAATAATTGTATAATAATTATAATAATTAAAAAGTATAATTAATTGTGGTACTTTTACTTGAGTTGAAAAAATGAAGTTTTAAAAGGATTCTATGAAGGTAAATCAGTAGCTAAACTTGAGAGCACGTAGATGTGAATTTGAGAACTTGTACAATATATATTCGTACTTGTATGTGAACATTTACACTCACAGCTCCAATGTGAAAACCTGTAAAATAAAAATCTGAAGTTGAATGTTGAGATTTGCACTCGCAGATAATAGTCACAAACCTGTATTCTGAATCTGAAGCTGCAGACAAGCAGTCACAAATGTGTCAAATGCCATTCACAGAAATACAATGACAGTCACAAACATGTAAAATATATTTGCACTTCTTCTAACATTCAAATTCGCAGTACAACCTCAAATTGGCACTTGCAACTTCTCAAATCTGTCACTGCAAGTTCAAATTTCACGCCTTGACTTTTGCTACTCTTTTCGCGATATATGAGGTGCACAACTGATTTGTGCACTTGTAACTCAGTGGCGGTGAGAGCGAAAGGGGGGCGGGAGCGGGGGTGTTCGAAGGAGTCGTTTTATTGGTTGGCGCCTAGCCAATGAAATGGGACTTCTATTGTACGCGATGATGTCACGAAACCCGCCTCCTCGTGGATGTTCTGAAACGCTAACATGTCTTAATGCATGATTAGACTAATTTAAAAGACATTTAAATGATATTATCAAACTTATTAAACACAATAATGCATACTACAGAAAAGCAGATGAGCACAGAATATGACGAAAGAAAGCAAATTTGTGTTCAGTGCAAATAAACCAGCTGCCTGTGTTTTATTAATAATGTATAACGATTTTTTTATATATATATATATATATAAATGTTGGTCCATTAAGCCTCATTAAGCGTTTTCTTGGTTTTCTATGAGAGGAAAATGCTTAACGTACAATTAAACGAGTTGCGTTCATTTTCTGCTCTATTGCTTTTCTGTATGCTTTATTTATGGTGTTTCCTGAGTTTGGTCTTTTAATACCACTGTCTTAAGTTAACGTGTTGCGTTCATATTCTGTGCTCATCTGCTTTTCTGTAGTATGCATTATTGTGTTTACTAAGTTTGATAATATCATTTATGTCTTTTAAATCAGTCTAATGCATTAAGACATGTTAGCGTTTCAGAACATCCACGAGGAGGCGGGTTTCGTGACATCATCGCGTACAATAGAAGTCCCATTTCATTGGCTAGGCGCCAACCAATAAAACGACTCCTTCGAACACCCCCGCTCCCGCCCCCCTTCCGCTCTCACCGCCACTGAGTTACAAGTGCACAAATCAGTTTTGCACCTCATATATCGCGAAAAGAGTAGCAAAAGTCAAGGCGCGAAATTTGAACTTGCAGTGACAGATTTGAGAAGTTGCAAGTGCCAATTTGAGGTTGTACTGCGAATTTGAATGTTAGAAGAAGTGCAAATATATTTTACATGTTTGTGACTGTCATTGTATTTCTGTGAATGGCATTTGACACATTTGTGACTGCTTGTCTGCAGCTTCAAATTCAGAATACAGGTTTGTGACTATAGTCTGCGAGTGCAAATCTCAGCGTTCAAGTTCAGATTTTTATTTTACAGGTTTTCACATCGGAGCTGTGAGTGTAAATGTTCGCGTACACGTACGAATATTTATTGTACAAGTTCTCAAATTCACATATACGTGCTCTCGAGTTTAGCTACTGATTTACCTTCATAGTATTCAACCTAGCTACATTTATTTTTCACCAAAAGTACAAAGTATTTTGAGTGGCGTAGACAGAGCAACAGGGCGAGTTGACATTTGACAGACTCGTTTCAAACTGCTGCGGTGGAGCCCTGCGTTTCAGGCAATAACAGACAGATCTGACTCTGGCGCAAAACCAATCTCAATTTCCAGTTAAGCTGAGGGGCGGGGGCGTTCAACTTGACAGTCAATGGCGCTCGCGTTTTGAATCAGTATCGCTAGCGGTTCAATATTTTAGTGTTTAGTGAGTAAGCTATGCTCATATTCTGATTTTAAATGAGCCTCCAAATAAAATTCTGCTTTGGGCCCCATAAAGGCTTGGGCTGCCCATGCCTTTTTATGTTGTATTTTATATATAAAAATTGAATTTCATGATTTTATAAAATTGTGTTGTAAAAAACGGTTACATTTGCTGTACTGTGGCACATTTAGTTTCTGTATTTAGATTCTTCTTCTGCAGCCCAATAGATGTAACTGCCGCCATCTGAAGCACATGTGCTGCGTCCCAATTCTCATACTATCCATCCTAAATAGTATTCGAAAATAGAATTAGTACGTCCCAAATCGTAGTATGTTGAAATGAGTGTCCCAAAGAGACCCGGATGGTCTACTATATCCGGTCAGAATCCGAAGTGCAGATCGATGCACACTCTAACGGCTGATATTGCCCACAACCCATCGCGCGTTGGACGAGGATTCGATTACAACTACAAATACAAGTGAAAAGTGTTTAAAAAAAAAAAAACGACACACATGGAGGACCCGCGCGAGTCCGGCGGTTGTGTAGAGAGGTTTAGATAAAGGGGTTTGAGTGATTATCAGTATCTAACCTGACGAAAATGTATTTATTCAATGTTGTCTACATTATATTGCATCTGCAGCAGCATTGTGAACTTTTGTAAAGATACGTTTAGCAGATAAGGAACTCCCGCACACTATCGTAACTAGGCATGTGCCGGTATCAAATTTTCATGCTGCGGTTAATTGATTGAGCTTTTATCACGGTATATGGTATTATCACGGTATTTTAATTGCTCAAGAGAAACAGATGGATTGTGGGTATCTAAAAAAACAACAACTTGCATCACAATGTGTAATTGTGATTTTCAAAACATATAACAGAATTTTATTAAGTTTAGTGACAACATGTTACAATGACTGGTAGGCTGTTTTGTATTATTCAATTCAATTCTTGGATTTGATTTCAATCTTAATTCAATATTGACTCATTTGGATAAATATTAGGTAGGCTACAGTCTACATTTAAATTGTTCTCAAGAAAAAAAAATATCTCACATAATGCTGTAAACATACAGAGAGAAATTAAATATAATGGGGTTTTCATTATAATACCAATTATGTAATGACAAGTAAACATATAATAAATATGTAATATAGTGCACATATTTAGCAAAATACTCCTCGCTATTTTTTTCTAGTCAACTAATGTGCTGGTCATTAAATGGCTTTCCTGAGGTAAATGTAACGTTCTGTGACATAACTGTTCTCCTGCAGTTTTATTGACCTCTTTCCGTGTTTGGAAAACACTGATTGATCGATATTATGTATGAGGCACATACATTTCGGTAAGTTGTACTGTATCTTTAAATAAAAAGTAACAGATGATCGGTTTACTTGAACTGAGGCGCAGCGATCTGTCACAATGGACAGAACCTAAGAGCTGATTTTTATTATTTTTTTCATATCAAAAGTAACCTGCGCTTTCTAGTCTGTCGGTGTCAGTGTCCTCTTTGCTCCGCGATTTTTCTCTGTGTCAGAGCGTGTGAAAAGTGTCAATTGCGTAAAGCGCCTTTCAGACAGGTCGCGGAATGCGCGGCGCTGGCCGCTGGGTTCAACGTTGCCCTTCAGATACAACGCGATTTGCTATTTTGCAAATAAAAAGTTTAACTATTTTGAACTTTGACCCCGGCGTGCTTTGGTCGGCGCAGCAACAAAACGTCCCCGCGCATATTCCGTGTCCTGTCTGAAAGCTGAATGCGTGAGAGTTGGCAGCCCTGCGGGGGATAAATCGTCGGCAGCGTTCCTCCTTCCGCCATGCTTCTACTCCATATGAGGATTGTTTACATTAGACTAGAGTGTGCACTGCCGCCGCATGCACACAGTGCTTATACATGTGGGGATTGTTTACATCAGAGTGCGCACGTGTTTTGCGCAGCATATGCAGTGTTTAAGCGGTTGATGGAAAATAAGCTAATGCACGTTCTAAAAGTCTAAATTCGAATCTATTATTTTTCACGGTATTTTGAAGTGCCCGCGATAACAATATCGTGCATATTCATTACCGCGATTTATCGCATTACCGAATACCGCCACATGTCTAATCGTAACTTGCAATTTAAAATGAATGTTTATTAACACACAACGTTTCGGTCACACGACCTCATGAAGAGATGAAGGTCGTGTGACCGAAACGTTGTGTGTTAATAAACATTCATTTTAAATTGCAAGTTACGATAGTGTGTGGGAGTTCCTTATCTGCTAAAACGACTAACTTGTTTGGTCCTATTATCCGACGCACCTATCACCTGCAGGTGTGCGATGGAGTTTGTTCAGTAAAGATACGTTTAGCCATTAACTTTTAAATGCATCATTACATTCAAATTGCAAACACATGAGGAGAGTCTCCACATGAAAGACCCATGACTGGCAGATGATCTAGCTCTCCGAAACGGTAGGAAATTAAATTCGATTGAATGGAGGATTTTAACTGTGACGAGATGATTGACAGGGCAGTTTACGGTGACAGGATGCATGCTACAAATTGTCCGTTAAAGATGACTAAGTAGTATGTCCCAAAGCTTGCCTACTCTTTTGCTACACTCTTCACAAAAAGAGTACATACTTTTAGGGTGTAGTATAAGTAGGCGAATTGGGACGCAGCAATGGTCTCAGACTGGCAGTTAGAGGCGGAGCTTTTTAGCGCGACTTAAATGCAGTCGGCCCCGCCCATTTCGGTTGGCTGAAAAGCCATTTGTCTGTGCAAAGCACAGCCGTGAACCAATCAGGCTTCAGTATTCTGAGAAAACAAAGTTTCCCCATACGCATACCCCGTCTGACGCAATGCGAGTGAACCGTATCGAAAGGGAACTATTAATATAAAAGTTGCTCTATTCAGCAATATAGATGTTATATTGTCATTTGTTTTGTCAGCCGTGGCGTCCTCCAGTGATCCTCCAGTGTTCTGTGACATCTGTGATGAAAGAAAGCAGAAAGCTGTGAAGACCTGCCTGACGTGTCAAAGCTCTTACTGTGACTCTCATCTGGAGCCTCATCACAGAGTCCCGCGTCTAAAGAAACACACACTGATCAACGCTGTGGAAAATTTGGAGGATTATATATGCCAGAAACATGCGAGACCTCTGGAGATGTTCTGTAGAGATGATCAGACGTGTGTTTGTCTGTCCTGCACTGAAGGAGAACACAGGACTCACAACACTGTTCCTATAGAGGAGGAGAGTCGAAAGAAGAAGGTAAAGAGTTAAAAGCTAAACACTTAGTTATGTTTTTTACATAACGTTAACTCGTCAACAAAAATTTAAGCAATCTCAACTTAGTTGAGTTATACGATGTAACTTTTTTTTTAAGTCAGTTTAATATAATTTAATTTGAAGGGACTTGTACAGCGATTTGAATATACTAAAAAATTTAGTCAGCAATGTAACTTTACAGTTACATTTACAGTGTAGTAACAATAAAATTATGCACTTTTGGGGGATTTTAAGTAATTTAGTAAATTTCTCTATTTCACTATCATTTTTATTAAAAAAATACTTAAATTTTTGGAACTTAACTACAGTATAAATCTGCACTTCTATAAATTTAAACGCATTGCTGCCATCTGGTGAAAAAAGAACATCAGGACTTCATGTCAGGTTATGTTATGGCAATAATGGCCAGTAGATAGCTGAAGTGTTTTATTCAGCTATATCTGCTGTGAAAGAATTCTAGATTTCATTCTTAATAATTTGGATGTTTATTTGGTCTTTATCTAACTATTATTTGTCAATCCGACAAATATCTTCTGTGAAAGTCTCAGGACCGATTTTTTTTTTGTCTAATCATTGCATTCGGTCTGATACGATGTCCTACCTGCCTGTCAACATATGTATTTCCATACCTCCCCACACCCTGCTCATGCAGACCTCACACATCATCAGTGTGTTCTGTAAGACTGTCCAGAGTTGTAGACACTTAGGCTGTGTTCGAAATCGCCCCTAATACCCTCATTCACTATTTCCGACATTACTCCTTTCATAAAGTCCACTTGAAGGAGTGAATGAAAACAAGTGAGTGAATTTGGTCACTGAGTGCAACGGAAGGGCTGTTGCTTTTGCATAGTTTGTGCTGGCTGTTTAGTAATAATTTAAAACTTCGCAAACTGGCAGCTCTAGTAAGATGAAAAGATTTATCTTGAACTCTGTCATGGACACTAGCATGTATAAACCTTAATTAAACAGTTTAATTATCAGGTAAAAAGGAACTTATACCTGTTTGATATTACGCTGTTGCCACATTGGACCAGCGGTTTGGAAAATGGATGGATGATTCTTCTGAAGAGACGCACAGGATTTCATTCAGCGCAATTGTCACAGTGCATTATTGGTATTCTCTAGCCGTTGAGTGTACATTACTCACACTCAGGGCTGGACTGGCCATCGGGCATACCGGGCATTTGCCCGATGGGCCGACGTGCTTTGTGGGCCGATACATCTCATACTTAATTTTTTTTTTTTTTGTCTGAACGGCCCATAAAACTCGTACATCGGCGGCCCATTGCGTTTAGTTTTGTTTAATTGGCGGCTCTGGGATCTTTGTGCCGCTGTAATGCATTGGACAAAAAAGTCAGCGTAGGTTTTTCTTTTTCTCACAGACCGGCGCATGATGAAACGCGTAGATCAGCGGCCCATTGGTTATTTTCTTGATTGACACTGGGCTGGTCCAATCACATCTTTAAACTCCTCCCCCTTTGAGCTCTGAGTGAGCGAGCAGTGTGTATCTGTCAAAATAGTCAGAGCGATGGAGAAGAAACGCAAGGAATGTGCAGTGAAATAGCGTGAAAAAAGAAACTTCAAAGGCCCTTCAAGTGTCTGATGAGGATAGTGAGGAGGATAAAGGAGAGAAATAAGTGAGTGCAGAGAACTGTGGTAAGCAGAACTAGGCTACTGTCACAACACTTAGGCTATGTAGGAACCCACTACCCAGTTACGCATTATTTACACATCTGCATATTTGACGATTACGCATTTTATTTGAATTGTAATAAGACGAGTTTGTAAACCATGTTTTTCTTCAAAATAAAAGCTTGATGCCGTTTCCGTCAAAATAAAAGATCATGTGCTTATCTCTGTATAGAAATTAGTACGAAACTAATTATGAAAGTTGCTTTTATTTTTCAGTGCATTTGTTTTACAACATATGGCTATTACTGCCATGGGATTAATATTATAACTATTATTATGTTGTAGTGTAATGTAGACAGACACTATATCACAACTAAAAGAGTTTTGAATTTTTCTTTGTTCAATTTGCACTGAATATGGGTTGGAGCTCTTTATTTTTAACTCTCAAAGTGCACCAGATTGATGAATTTAACATTAAAAAGCACAAAATTTTCTTACGGGGGAGCATGCCCCCGAACCCCCCTAGAGGGACAGAGGTGCACTCACCACAGATTTCCCAAAATCCTGTGAGAAAAACCGGTATTGCTATCCCAGCTTATAGCTTTCTTTAGGATTCATCACTGTGGAGTAGTTCAACTTAGTAGTTATTTAATCGGTTAACTCTTACTCACTCCTATTCACTTATGGCATTAGTGGTTTTAATAGGAGTTGGTATACATATTCAAGGGCGTGCAAAGTTCGGTTGTGTTATATGGTGGACCAGTCTGGGCCAAAATGCCCGGGCCGATTTTTTGTCCCAGTCCAGCCCTGCTCACACTCGTTATTGCGGTGCATTTTGGGATTGAATAAATGCACTCGATAACGTCCACTATGGTTTTGGACACCACTACAAATGGGTGTCCCTTCAAATAGTGCCCAATTTAAGGGTATAGGGGGCGATTTCGGACACAGTCACAGAGCACTGCAAAGAAACCGTAGTCGCCTTTTAAAGTTCCTCCTGAACCAAAACAATGAGCTATGCTGTGTTCACACCATGTCATTGTCACAAACTGCTCCAAGACTTGGGTTGATGATCGAAATGCAGATTTATTGGTACAATCCAGAATCGTAATCCATATAACAGTCTTAGGGTCAAACCATAGAGCAAACGTATGATATAGTCCAAAATCTCAGGCAAACAAGGATATCAAGGACAATGGGCTGAAGAACATGGATACAGGCGCTCAGAAGCCGGTGGAGCCGGCAGAGCTGGTGACCACAACGACGAAGCAGAAGACCACCAGGACAGATCAGACTGGTCTGATGATCCCCATAGCGGATCAGCCAGAAAGTTGGTTAGGGTTGGCCTCTGGGGCCGTGTCAAAACAGGCAGAAATTTATTGTAAGTAATTGCCTCTGTGGCCATAACAGGCAGGACATTCAGGAGTAATGTCTGTGACAAAGCAAGCAGAGTCTTTGAATGTTCATAGGCGACCTCCATGGTCGGGACAGGACAGACAGAGAGCTAAGGGACAACCACTGTGGTTGTTTCCAGCCAAGCAGTGTATTCAGTGATGATCTCCGTGGTTGTTGTTTCTAGGCAGACAGGGTGTTCACAGGCGACCACTGTGGTCATAACAGCACAACCAGACAGTTTACAAACAGAAGGTGAAGCAGAGACTTCATCAGTGATCTCCTTGACAATAGCAGGAAATACCAAGAACAGTAGTCGCTGTCTCAGTTAAACTAGGTCAAGTTTCATTGCCTCCTGAGAAACGGAAGAAACGTACATGGCCCAGACATATAAAATAACCATCGCCGTAACTGGGAGTGCAATCAGCGGTAGGAAAACCTCTGAGACCCCTAGATTCGATACCATCGGATTCAGATGCACTGGACACAAAGATGATGTCAGGACCACTGAGATGCCAGCTGCTCATATCGACATCAACATTAGGTCCTCCAAACGGGAAGCCAATCTCAAATGCCTAAGACCTTCTTTGTAGCTTTAGGTGCAGCATCGATGACGGCTGAAGACTGGATTAGGGACCACCGGACTCGGAAGCGTGTGAGCACCGGACTTAGGATCATCAGACTTGCTGAATCAATTGGCCACCGGAGCTTGACACACTATCCCGCTCAAAATAGAAGTGTAACAGAAAACAAGACTACGCAAAGTGAGAATGAAAACACAGGGCTTAAAAAGGCAGACTTTTAACAAGGGTAATTACACACAGCTAAACAAAATCACTCAATCATGAGAACAGTCAAAGGATACTGGGATGTAAAGTTCATGGAAAAGCCCAGGCGTCAGCTGGCGGATGTTACAGTTGTAACCGTAATTAAGAGATGGCAACCCATGACGTTCTACCGGGAGCTGTTCACGTCCTCAGACTCAGAGTTATGCGTTTCTGTGTCAACACTATCAATGCTGAAATGAATCTTTGGCAGTTAGGTAGTACAATAAAGAGCTCTGTTAGTTGTTTGTTCATTAATATTGTAATGTTATCTGCTTTGAGACATAAGGTTATTTAACGCAGACTCTCTTCTGATGCCTTGGAGACACACTGGAAGGAGGATGCGATTTCATGCTTTCAAAGCTAGCTTGTTATTGCTAGCCTCTCTGAAATGGCCAACCCTACCTTTAAATTCCAACAAAAACATTTTTTTTTACTTTTAAGAATAAAAATGTTATCCTCAAAGACATTTACTAAAAGCCACAGGAATTGCGAATTCATTTGGTATTTTAATACGAATCATTTCAGAAGATGAAGTTATCTGTTTCGCTGTATGTAGACTGACGTTCCTCAGATGATCCAGGGCAGAACAAAGAAGATTCAAGACATCCAGCACTCAGTAGATCTGAAAAAGGTGAGTGGAGGTTAAACATTGTAAAATTGATAATGTATTATACATTTTCAATCGGCTTAATATGGGTTCATAATTAAATGGATAAAACTTAATAGATATTTATAATTTATCAGAAAAACATAGAGAAAAAGGAATCCTCCAATGTTGAGCTCTTCACTGATCTGATCCACTCCATTGAGAGATCCCGGTCTGATCTGCTGAAAATGATAGAGGAACAGCAGAGAGCAGCAGAGAAACAGGCTGAAGATCTCATTAAAGACCAGCAGCAGGAAATCACTGAGCTGAAACAGCTCTCACACACTGACGATCATCTCCATGTCATACAGGTCTGTCAACATCTGTCTCATCGGTCATCATGTACAATAATACAGGATAAACCCTTGGTTCACAAACCTGATGAGCTGCTTGACCATATTACTTGTAACAGTCTTTTAGAAATTGTACAATAGAAACTGAAACAGTAATTGTAGTATACTGAGTAATATTTTAGCCATTCCAGTTGTTACCGCTAGGGAGTGAATATGCTTGTGTTGTGTGGGAATTACCTGTTGCAGTAGAATGTTCTGTCCTGTTGGATAGTCAGGTCATGCTGGTGTAATCCTGTTAAATAAGCACAGTTATTAGTAAACCGACCCTCCTGCATTCCTCTCTCTTGTGTGGTTTTTTATACCAAGTTACCACAGTAATAAAGTCCAATTTGAGAAATGAGTTAACCCTTTAACGGACAAGGTGCACCACAGGATACATATTCTTTAGTCTCTAGTAGGAGAGAAACAATTTTTCATCCACTACTGTTGTCAATATCATAGTTGAGTCTGTTTAGAGTATGTGGGTCACATGACTTGGTTTAAATTTTCTGTGCTCGTTTTGTCAGTTTGACCTAAAGACAACCTGTCCACCCATAGTGTTGTACATGTTGGCTTTGTAGAAAGTAGACCTATATTAATCAATACAGTAGAAATCTCGTTCCAGGGCCGGGGCCCTTGGAGACGATCCTTATACAGGTCCTTCTCAAAAAATTAGCATATTGTGATAAAGTTCATTATTGTCCATAATGTAATGATAAAAATTAAACTTTCATATATTTTAGATTCTTTGCACACCAACTGAAATATTTCAGTTCTTTTATTGTTTTAATACTGATGATTTTGGCATACAGCTCATGAAAAACAAAGGCGTTTCAGAGAATTAACAGTCTTCTCTCCTGCTGTAGATGTGCTCATCCCTGGACAGTCGTCCACACACTAAGAACTGGACTGAGACCAGGATTGACTCTGATGTGAATGTGAACTACCTGTATAGAGCTCTGGCTGAACTGAACAAAACTAATCGGAAATTAAATGAAAAACTCAATCAAACTGGTATGTGAATATCAAAAACAGTAGATTTGTATCAGTAACTAAGAAAATATTTTTTCAAGGAATATTATGGGTTAAGTGGCGGCTGGTCAATAAAGGTTGCTAGGGCGCCGGCCTCCCTGAGCCACACACAAAACAATAATTATAATTATAAAATATAGCTGCAAGCAGCAATTATCGGGGCCAAGCGCAAAGAAGACAATAAGACATGCCAACATGGCTGGGAGTGTCAGACCAACTGCAGCAAGGAGAAATTGAAGACATTTAAAGATGATTTTAGGAAAATGGCAAAAAAATTATATACAGTAACTAAAGATATGATTTAATGGATTATCAAGACGCATACCGAGTTTTGTAAGGGTACACCAATGCATTCGTAAAGTGTTGCATTTAACATTATATATTAAAGATATTATATTGTAATTAATAGCAATGTCCTTGTTTTGTTCTATTATAGCGCCACCGAATTTTTTATGTGTTCTCAGAGTGAGCCCATACGTGTGTGTGTGTGTGTGTGTGTGTGTGTGTCAAATTTGGTGGAAATTTCTCATTTTGTTTTGAAGTTATAGACATTTATATAAGAAATAACCCATGGGCGACTTTGATTGGATTTTTTTGCCAATTACTATCAAAATTTTGACATTTGGGCATCAGCATAGTCAACGACCTGTTTCCAAACTCCCTACGGTGGTTTCATCTCGACCGGTCTAACGGCTTCGTAGATATTGGCAAATGTTTTTTAAGCGCAAATTTACAACTTTGTACTAACCATAAGGCAAAACCTAGAATGTTTGGTATCGTTACACTCGGCAAGGATTCAGGATTATAGGAGACGACTCCCATGAAAATAAGTCAACCGAATTCAAAGTTTTAGGCATGCAAGTAATTTTTTCCACCACTAGGTGTCACTGGTCTGAACCTTCTCGGACTCTTTCAGAGCATCGTGCCGATGACCCATACCAAGTTGTGTAATGATACGTTCATGCGTTCATTAAATACAGCATTTTAGTACAATATTCAAAATGACCGAAATGGAAAAATCAGCATTACGCCCTATTAGAACATGAAACCGTTTTTTGACCTTGGATGTATGTAAACCTGTTGAAGGAGACTCCAGAACGTCTCGGTTACGTATGTAACCCTCGTTCCCTGAAGGAGGGAACGGAGACGTAGTCGACGTGTCGACTGATTGGGATAACGCTTAGAGAGACCGTCATCTTCGAGTACTATTAAAACGAGCCAATGAAATTGGCGTGCGTGAAATGCATTACACACTCCGCCCCCGCGCCGCGGGTATAAATACGGAAGTGGATGCACGCACTAGATGTTTTTCGCTGAGGAGCCGAGCGTAACTCTGAGTCAGCGGTGGTCCAGCAATAGTGGCTACGGGACTACGTCTCCGTTCCCTCCTTCAGGGAACGAGGGTTATATACGTAACCGAGACGTTTCCTTTCAGTCGTTCACGATCGACGTAGTCGACGTGTCGACTGATTGGGATCCCAATAAAAACGCCATCTAGTGCTGCCACCTTCCAGCGCCTAGACAAAAGCCTCCAGATCCCCCCGGAATAGGCGGGGAAAGGACAGGGCTTAGGGCAGGGAAGTCACTGCTGTTCCTACAGGACCACTGGGAAAGCGTTCCCTGAACATGGAAGGAAGGGACGCTGCGGAAGCCACATCCTGCCCGAAGGGAGGTAACATGTGGAGAATACACATATGAACTGGGTGGATGACCGGGCAGTACAACATATGGAATTTCACTGGGTGGGTCACTATTGGGTGGCTCCAGCCTAACAGGGGGAGACTCAACCGAACAGTGACGGCAGAGCAGGCTCTGCCAAGGGAAGACACGGGCTCGCCGCAGGGAGCCGTACCATGGAAGAATACACATATGGGATCGCCGTAGGGATCACAGCATATGGACCCAGCCTAACACAGGTTCCACCAGTGCATACGAGTGATAGGCCTAGCTTCAGACATTCCGCTATGTCCATTGCCGAAGGGTATGGAGGAACTCGACAGGGTTCGGCTAAAAAGGGGAACTCAACTGGAGCAAGAATTGCGCACGTATCCAGTCCATAGGAGGGGAATGGCTCAGCAAGCCGACACAACGAACCGGGCTTACAGTGAACTGGCTTCAAGTGAAGGGAGCCCACGGGAAGCAGAGGTTCGACTAAGGTGTCGCCCAGCCCTCAACTCTAGAATATCTGTCAGCGAAGCACTCTGTGTCAACGCCTAAGTGGGAGCACACACTCATTAAAGAGGAGCTCACCACCTAAGTGGACATGAGCATCTCAGGACTTTCACCAAGATGAAGGCATTTGCGCCAACCTCGCTTGGAAACAGCCTTCCCTCTCTGCTGATTTCCTTAACAGATAAGAGCTGAACTGAGGTCCTATGGCTTGCGTTCTGTGCACGTAACCCCGCAATAAAGCGGACGAAAAGAGAAAGCCAGGGCTGGGTCTGCCTCCTCCAGGCAGCGCTTGCAGGCTCACCACCTGGTCCTTTTAAGGGAGAGGTAGGAATCTTGGGCACATATCCAGGCCGGGGTCTCAGCTAGTGAGAGTTAGCCGGCCCGAATTCCAGGCACAATTCGTTGACCGAAAGCGAGCAAGTCCCTACCCTCTGGAGGAGACCATACGAGCAGGAGAACTGTAAAAAACAGAATTTTTAACTCACTGCCTGGAGTGGCTCAGGGGCGGTCTCTGATTGCAATAGCACCAGAGACAGGCCCAAGAGGTTAAAGAGGGGCGCAGGGATGACCCTTGCTCCCTCAGGAACCTGACGATCAGGACGTGCTTCCCATACTTCTGCATATGATGTTTGTATCATATTGAGGATGAAGGAACAGCCTACTCCAACCCAACTTGCAGGAAAGAGAGCACTGAAATGACCGAACGCTCTCAGGATCTCCTCACGGAGAGAAGACTCATTCAACGAATAGGTTCCACTTCTAACTAGCGAAGCACAACTGCCTTATCTTAAGGGGGTACTTGTGAAGTGATGGTCACTACCACATATCCTTGTGATAGCGACCTGAACCTCCCCGTCCAGTTCTTTGAACGCGGGTGCCATCATGACCCGTCCCTGAATGTATTCAGGGGAAGTCAGGAAGGCTGTCGAGGGAACTAGATCTGGTTGGGCCAAAAAAAGGGGCAACTATCAAGACCTGTTCCACTCCTGACTTAGCACAGTAGGTGCAAGCGACATGCACACACAAGACAGGAGCACTGCCCAACACTAGATGTGATAATTCACTGAGCTTCAGGAGCATTTCTGCTCAACACCTGAGTGTGATGAACATCACTGAACTTGAGCAGCGCCAAGCGATAATGAAATCGCATAGCCGCTTTCTTAGAAGGCTCACTGGGGAACGCATTTCTGCTGGGCCCCGGGGTCAGCTGAAAGCCAGTGTCTATCCAAGGGATGTCCGCTCAGACAGAAACACAACTGGCAGAGGGACGAGTCCGGAGGGGCAACAGATGCGGCCCCGAAGTGGTCCCTGCCCAGCTGGACCGCCAGGGGATTGGAGTCTCCACTCTTCCTGGCCATAGCTGTTGTGAGGCTCATTGGCGGCACGATTGAGCAGGCTGGAAAAATTTTATAGTGGAATGAAGCGACCTCAGAAGCTCCTGACTCCAAGGAGGAGGTGACGGGCGAGTTGTGACATGCGAGGGAAGCTTAGCGCAACGGTCGCGATGTAGTCCTTTCAGACCAGTACCAGCTCGCTGAGCAGCGGTGGCTCAAAGCGAGGTGAACTGCCAACTCGAGGTAACGAATACCAATGCAGTCGGAGGTCGCCCAGGCCTCCGTTAAAGCATGCCCTTTGTACATGGCCCCTCAGTCGGTGTTAGTGGACCTGAAGGTCTGAACACGGGCTGAGAGTTTGGCGGCAGGCCGGGGTGATCTTTTATCACCCAGGGCGTGCCACTCTGCCACGGTCACCTCGGGACTCGATCATAAAACTAGTGCTGAAGCGGTCTTCATATGGAGGAAACCAAGCGGCTGCGTCTGCCATATGCCGCAGGAGCCTCTAAAATTTTTAGTGGAACCCTTTCTCACTTCTAGCACTAGCCTAACACACTCTTCTTGAAGAGACGTGTTGGACCGAGTCCTTCTCCTGAACTGAAACTGAACTCCTCTCCGAAATGAATCGCAAGCCGAGTCTGCTGGAAGTTTCGGGGCCAGCTGGAGTGGTAGGAAGCATCTTCAGGCTTACACACACCGTGCCAGGGGCCAGGGAACCACAGACGTACCCGAGGTGGGGCAGCGAGGTGGAGGACAGGGACCCGGCTCGGAAGGCCCGGAGGCGGCCCGAAGCAGGGTCTAAGTGTGTTGTATAACACTTACCTGTCTCCACGAGACGGCCAGGGATGCGTGAGAAGACGGATGACCGAGTCCTCGAACCGCACCCAGCTGCCGTGCTGGCGAACAAGAGGGGGCTGAGGGGTGCAAGGCTTTCAGGGTCGCACACCGCCAGACTCGCCCTCTTGGAACCCAGGAACAAAGGAATTCGCTCTTTCTTTGGAGTGTGGGTACCGCTTGCTCCGCTTCTTTTGGGAGCAGCGGAGGAACAGACACACACACAAACAAAGACTCCACCCGGCCCTCACCCGGGGGGAGGGAGTGGATTGTTGACGAACTCCCAGAGCATCCTCCTCCATCCCTGAGCCTGGCTGGAGGCTGCTGCGGAGGCCCAGTGAGAGAGGCGGCAGGGGAATGCCCTCGGAGACGAGCAGGCGGAGGAACTGCCACTGGCGGCGGGGTGGAGGCAGCAGCGGGCCACCGGGGCAGGATGTGCCGGATGGCCTCCGTCTGCACTTGGGCGACAGAGAACTGTTGGACACAGTTCTCCGCCGTGTCGCCGACCAGCCCAACCTGGGAAATTGGGGAGATCAGGAACCGAACCTTGTCCGCATCCGCCATATCAACCAGGCTGAGCCAACGATGGCGCTCCTGGACCACTAAGGTGGACACCGCCAGACCGATCGCGCATGCCACGAC